TGGTCAGTTTTGGGTCTGTATTAAAATAAGGCCCTCGTTGACAGGCTCGCCCATTGTAGCCAATGCATTATAGTTTGACCGCCCTATCTACAACCCTACTCAGCGATTTCCGTTTTGATCAACATAATAACCTTTTTTACGTACGGTACTTACAGTTGTATAAGGCGTCCAGTGTATATTCATCCTATAGATGCCTCGATGAGAATCCTTTTACTGGAGCAAATCTAAGTGGTAGTTAAATTTCGTTTTAAATCACTCTCCTTGACTTGCTAACCATTCTGACAGAGAAACATGTCACCGTCAGTCGCCCCTAAAACTGTTATTATTGCTAATTTTCATCGTTCTGCTTTATTTTACGACGCTACCTTTCCCCGCCAGTTATACACCGCAAGTATTGAATTCCTGGATGGGATTGAACTGCGCACAGACTCCTTGAAGCAGGTGCAGAAACTTCGACAACATTCGTCCTACTCAGCCTTCCTTGGCAAGTGGAGTCTCCCTGTTTATTTTCAACTGAGGTGAGTTAACTCTGTTCTGCTGACAGTGTGTCGCACGTTCGAGGCGCCGTGTTAATGCAATATGCTGTATGTATATTATTTACTTGCCCCCCCCGCCTGTTTTTGCCTCTTTGTTGATATAACATTCCTAGTGGAGGAGGAAACATCTCGAGCATCGCCACCATTTGACCGTTCGGCCTACAAAAATTCAGATGACCGCTAGACGTAGCCTAGTTCCGGGAGCCACAAGTGAGAGCTGGGTGTCACCAGCCAATGACGCTAGGTGTAGGCACCACCTACACGAGAGAAATGCTGCAACCCGCCGCGACCTTGGCGTTGGACCCCTAACTGGACAATCCATATGGCGAATACAGGATATCCGTTCTCAACGTTCTCTTTTGGTAAAACATCTTGAGTAGCTGCGTCTACTTCGCTACGAAAGTTTTTTTTAGAAGAAACATCCAGTTCCATATCCTTCTTCCCGAAAACCGTCTCGAACTTCGGACTGGCTGGTTGGTTTTCGTCCAGGTTTTATCTAGTTGACTTTCTGGTTATCTGATTGGCCGATCACTGTGGTGGACACTCGCCTTCCAGTATTGCCACCACTGTTTCAAGCTGTTCTTCGCAAACCAACCCCGTCCGAACTGCTACCCCCAGCCTCTTGTTGTGTTAAAATTCTGGTTTAGTGTTTGTTATGGACCAAGGTTGATTGGTTAGTAGCAGGTGTAGACAGGTCGAGTAGGTGTTGGTACTGGCGAAGAAGCATGGAGTAGCCACTGCGTAGCTGCGCGGGGGTACAGCGAGTGACCCTCGGGAGTTGTCGTTCCGGGGCCGCAATCGGAGGTGGATAGTCACCCAAAAGGACCGAGGGGTGGTAGCTGAATTTTGAGTCCATAACAGCTCTCCGGTGAAGACGCTGGAGGCCTATCGTGATGGCAGCGCCATCAATGGGTAGATCCGAGAGACATGATGCCACAGCTTCCCTGCGGAGAGCTCTAAGAGACAGTCGAACGCTGCGGCTAGGTTCAAGGATGTGGCAGCGGTAGTGACTTGGATGACCGGGTTGCGAACAGATCCACCAAGACTGCCGACCTAGGA